ACAGAGTGCTCTGAAAAAAGATGGTGTGGTCGTTTTAAAGGAGGACATGGTCATGATGCCAGAAAGACGCCTTTACTGCACATTGAGAAGGATGTGCTCTCATGCCTAATGTGGCCAGTGTGGAAAGCAGTGGAACTGGCAGGATCATCAGGTATTTCACACAAAGGAAGCAATGCAAAGAGAACGGGAACGGGAAGTACATGGGAACAGAGACACCTATCAGGAATATGAAATGTTGGGGTAGCAAATACTGCAAGCAGAATAAAGGTTCAGTAAGGCTGCTCACTTAGCTCAGTTGATAAAATGAAGCTATGACTATACAATAAAGTTCAGGGTAATTAGAAAAAAAAAGATTTTTTTTAACTTGCACTTGATTGGATAAAGGAAATAGGCACTTTTTCAGTAAATTGAGTGAACTTCAATCTGTAATGTTACAGATAACATTGACAATGTGGCAATGTGGTTTATCACACTCAATAAGTACATGGTATTCTGAAGGTAGAGGAATCCTCTCTAGAGGTAAAGGAACAGCTGGCTGAGAATTTCCCTGATACATGTTTGTCATGTCTGTCTGCTACCTCAGTCAGAAAATCCATTACACAAGACCGATAATTGAGCTTTGGGGCAAAAGGGGAAATTGGCAGCTGTGGTTTGTGAAGAAGTAATGTAGGACAAAATGTCCTTTTTCAAAACTAATTGACTTTCAGCATGCCAGGTGTAGCAAGGGAATCCCAGACCATACAGCACATATCAAATCACCAATATGAATCTATGAAATAAGTCACAACGTTTTTAACAATTTGGAGTAAGGCTGTGAGAAATGTTATATATGATATACTCGCTTGAGTCATTAATTAGCACCATAAACATCACTATTAGAATTTTTTTTATTAGAATTTTTATATGATGCTGTCCATGTCATATGTGTCAAGCAATACAGTGGACAGTGTGGGTCAAGGTTACATACCTATCATGCTGCAGAGTGTTGCATCCAAGTCAGGTCACACATTACGTTGTGCGTTACATGACAATTGTCTCTATTAAACTTGAGCTGGACAAATTGTCATTACTCACCTCAATTTGGTCTTCACTGCATCTGCATAAGCCTCTGCTGTACCCACCCTAGTCTCCACTGTACTAACTCTCCAGTGCCTTGAAGGGGTCAATACCAGGGAGAGGCCAGGGGATCAGGTGTGTGAATGGCCTATGGATAAAGTTCTGGAGTTGCATCCTCCATCAGATGGGGAGATCAACGAACTGGAAGAAAGCACACAGGTGGCGCAAACACCTATCGCATTATTCAAGGTTTATTAACCACTTCCTGTCTGGACACTTTTACCCCCTTCCTGTGCAGGGCAATTTCAGATTTCAGCGCTATCACACTTTGAATGACAATTGCTCAGGCATGCAACGCTGTACCCATATGAATTTTTTACCATTTTTTTGAGACAGATAAAGCTTTATTTTGGTGGTATTTATTCACCACTGAGATTTTTTTTTTTTTTTTGCTATGTAAATGAAAATGTCCAAAAATTTTGAAAAAAAAAGTGTTTTTCTTATAAAATTTTGCAAATAAATAATATTTCATCATAAATCTTGGCCAAAATGTATTCCATTATCTTTTTAGTAAAAAAAAAAAAAAAGCCAAATTAGTTTATAACCAAAAAGTATAATTTTTAAACTTTTTTTTACATTTTTATTTTTTATATTATTATTTATGTTTTTTTTTTTTACATACTGTCACCCTAGCAGTACAGTGTCCATGGTGACACTGTACTACTTGTGGGGGGTGATGAAGATTTTTTTTTTTTTTTACATACAGGATGTAAAAGCAATCATTTTCTTTCTTTCTCTCTGCATTCTTGCAGCCATTGAGAACTACTGAGTGAGCTGTGATTGGTCACAGCTTGTCACATGGTACAAGGCTGTTGTGAATAGCCTTGTACCATGTGACCTCTGTGATCATTCATAGATTTCACACGTAGTAAGCAATGATGTCACAAGTGACATCTTGCTTACTACTTTGCATTTGATCACTGATTGGCCAATCAGTGATCACATGATCGGGACCTCGTCCAGAGGTCCCATCCGACAATCGGTGTTTCACTGTGTCCGGAGGACACAGCGGGCACCGGATCACGGTGCTGCGCGCTCCCTATAAATGGCCACCCAACCCTGCAGTGCCACCGTCCAGTCGTTTATATACAACGGCCGGACGGGAGGTGGTTAAAAAGTATAAAAAAACAAAAACATACTCACAATCTTAGCGCATATATAAGGCCTCGTAAGGCCACAGAGATGGCGGAATTGATGGCAGAGTGTCGGACTGGTAGTATGGTCGGCCTGTTGATGCATTTCGGGGATGTGTCCCTTTGCTCAGAGCTATAACCAACTTGGGCTGGTGCCCTACTCTATATATGTGTGTAACCTGTACTGCCTATAACAAGGCCATCTCGGCCATCTTTGTACCATACAAGGCTTTATACATGCGCTAGGTTTGTGAGTATGTTTTTTGTCTTTTCATACTTTTTAATAAGCCTTGGATAATGTGCTAGGTGTTTGCACCACCTGTGTGCTTTCTTCCACTGTACTTTCAGTCTAGCCATTGCTGCACCCCCTGCCATGCCTCTCTTGCACTCAAGAGGATTTATAGTGGTAATCCCAATGTCCATGGTAATTTTTTTTTAGTGGGTATGTTATTTCTTATCATACACCAAAATATACACTTACATAGACTGGCAAAGATTTACCATCCCAGACTGACACATGGACTAGCAACTACAATGAGGGACAGGCAGATCTATATGAGTAGAGTTCTAGAATAACTTGTCTCCTAAAACTCACCAAAACTGCCATAGAAAGCAGGAAGGATGGAGTTGCTAGTGAGGTAAGCAGCGTTTATTTGACAGTTTAATAACAGTAATTTATTTGATCCAAAAGTAATATACAGCTTGTTTGTTTTCAGAATAAACTCTTTATGCATATATATAAACTTCCATAGGTACTGAAAGCAGCCCTCAGCAAAAAAAAACACCCTATATTGACCACGTGTTGCCCATATCTAGCTCAGGGTCTACCTATGTACCTTTCCTAGATTTGTATAGGTTTGATATAATTTGATTAGCCTATATTATAGTTAGAGATTATGAACTCACATTTGCATCCAAAATGCAAGTAAAAAGTCAAGGTTAATAAAATGTTTAGGTTTTATTCTATGTATTGTTTTGGCACTGATAAAGACATACAAAAAGCATTTTGATTTAATAATTGTCTTATAATTGTCTGCTTTTTATATAGGTGCAGTGGGAATGCATAAATCCAAAATACAGAATGAAAAAGAAAAACTACAAAAATTCCGGCATTGTAATCCTTAATCAGTGTAAGGTATGTTGTAGTTGCAAAATAATTATTTACACATTGGGGGGGGGGGGGGTATTTTCTAAAGCTGGAGCGTGCAACATTTTGTGCAGTTTTGCATAGCAACCAATAAGCTTCCAGGTTTTATTGTCAAGGCCTTATTGAACACGCTGAAGTTGGAAGCTGACTGGCTACCAAGCACAGCTGCACAAGATTATGAGTGCTCCAGTTTTACAAAATCTCCCCCACTCTCCCCCCATATCCCTACTCACTAAGTGAGATGGAGAATCTTAGCCACAAGGATTTTGAACATAAGAAATACGTTCTAAAAAACGTCAACATATTTGTTAGGGTGCATCGCTTATGTTCAACTCCTTTTTCCCTGCCACTGCTCCCTCTGCCGCCATTACAACACTTATTTAATTGTATTTACTATTTAGGTTACTATTTATATTTACTATTTCAATCTTACATTGATCCAAGCTGTGAGGTTTTTTTTTTCATTAAATAACTTTAGTTCTATTTAACCCATTATTAACCTTGAGTTTACCCTAATTAACTCTAATTAATTAATTCCTTCCCTGCTCCACTTAGCTAATATTTTTCTCCAGTTTTTTTTTTAATTTTCATTGTTTTTTTCTTGTTACAAAAAATGTGCAAATTTAAAAAAAAAACGTTTTAATTTGCAAATAACTTGCCAAACTGTGTACCAAAACAAATATTGTATTGCCATTTTAAAAGGCACATATTCAGGAATATATTGCATGGTTTCTTTTTACAATAAAATTACTTTATTAAAAAAAAACTAACACTGGTCCAAACAAAAAAAAAAATATTTTTAATCATTTATATCTCTTTGTCTATACATTCATGGAAAATTAAATGTAAAACAATATTGCCAAAAGAGAGCCTAGATTTTCCCCCCTAAAAACTGTGAGGAATCTACTAAGACTAGAGCAGGTAAAATCTGGAGCAGCTGTGTATGGCAACCAATCAGCTTTTAGCTTTAATTTTCAATTAACTGAACAAGCTGAGGCTAGAAGCTGATTGTTAACTATGCACAGCTGCTCTGGTTAATGTCAGCTCCAGTTTTTGAAAATCCCCCCAATGCATGTATTACTTTATCTTATGTAATGACAAAGTTATTGCCAAATAAATAGACCCTTGTGGAAAATTGCTCTGGTACATATGGAGTATACAGGTATAAGCCCTGAACTCACTGGTGTGAATATCAACATTTAAAAAATTCTTTAACCATTTATAACAAGTATGAACTTGCAGGATCTCTATATACTGACTAATGCAGGCCATAGATGGGTCGAAAATCGGCCAATTTTTCGGGCGAAAATAAAATCAGCCGATTTTTGGATCGTTAGTGGGCTAATTGTTCGGCACCGTTTTTCGGTATTTTGGCAGATTTTTTTTATCGGTAAAGTTGGAAAAAGATCGTCCAATTTTGCCGATCGGCCGATTTTCGAGGCAATTATGGGAAAATCGGCCGATCTTTTTACCGATAAAAAATCTGCACATGAGCAGTGACCTGCAAGAGGAAGACAAAAAGAAGAAGAAAAAGAAGAGGATAAAGAAGAAGAGAGGAAGAAGAAGAAGAGGAAGAAGAAGAAGAGGAAGTAGAGGATGAAGAAGAAGAAGAAGAAGAAGAGGATGAAGAAGAGGAAGAGGATGAAGAAGAAGAAGAGGATGAAGAAGAGGAAGAAGAAGCAGAAGAAGAGGATGAAGAAGTTGAAGAAGAGGATGAAGAAGATGAAGAAGAGGATGATGAAGAAGAGGATGAAGAAGAGGATGAAGAAGAAGAGGATGAAGAAGAAGAGGATGAAGAAGAAGAGAAAGAGGAAGAAGAGGAAGAAAGAAGAACAGGAAGAAGAAGAGGATGCAGAAGAGGATGAAGAAGAGGATGAAGAAAAAGAAGAGGATGAAGAAGAAGAAGAATTCCAGTCCGGCAAAAAGTGTCCCTGCAGAGAGCTCCGCTATTTCTTTGACAGTGCTTTGACATTTATAGCGGTTGCAACAATGTATCTATTTGTTTCCGAGTAAAAACATCTGTATCCGAAATGGATACAAATAGGTACATTGTTGCAACCGCTCTAAATGTCAAAGAACTGTCAAAGAAATAGAGGAGCTCTCTGCAGAGATACTTTTTGCCGGCTGTAGACGGGATGAAAATTGGCCGATTTTTTTTTACCGTTCCTGGTAATGTCGGCCGCTCGAACGACCGATTTTTCATTTTTTTAAAGAAAAATCGGCCGGTTTTCTTCCCATCTATGGCCTGCATAAGGCTTGGTTCACATATGTGCGGGTGGTGCCGCTGCGGATCCACACAAAAATCCGTGCATCCGCACCACCCACACAGAAGAATGCAGACCTGTGAGCCGGTGCCATTAATTATAATGACACGCCGCCTGCACTGGGAACCGAGGTTCCCGTGCGGGCTGCAGTTTCCAAAGAAGTTCAGGGACTTCTTCTCTACGTGTCCTGGGGCACGAGAGTCCATTCAAATGAATGGGCTCTTATGCCTGTGCAAAACGCAGCCCGCACGAACGCGAATATGTGAACCGGGGGTAGCAATTTAATTTGATGTTAAGCTCAGAACATATTCAGAAACAAGTGCAAATGGTGGAAAAACTATGGATATTGGGAACCTTAGTGTCAGCAAACTGTTAGTTTTACATCTACGCTGCATGCCTTTATGGAGTTCACAAGAAATGTTTTTACATCTGTTCCAAAGGGGATTCATTTACAAAAGGCAAATAGGATGTTCACTTTGCAACAGAAGTTGCACTTTGCAAGAGAATTGGCTCCGAAGCTTAGTGAATGTGGTGACATTTCACTTTGCAAAGAATACCCAATCATATGCAAGGGAAAAAAATGCATATTTGCTTGCACAAGATTAGATGATGGAAGTCAGCAGAGCGTCTCCTAAATCCTTAAGCTCTGGGGAAAATTCCCTTGTAACAGTCTGTTTGCCTTTAGTAAATCAACCTCAGATGTCTTTTAAAAATAAGAGGCTTGTTTTGCATTTTTAGGTTTTTAGCTTTCATTCTGCTTTTGGTTTGGTGGTATTCTAAAAGTCAGAATTCAAGATGTTCTCTATAGAACATATATGATGTTTTTTATTATTGTAACGTGTTTAAGAAAATATATAAAATACATGAAAAGACAGTCTTTAATTCTGGATTTCGGAGAGCTCTGATACTTTTTTAATGAAGGTACCCTTTTGATTTGGACTGGTGAAATTCTAACTTTGGAATTACATCTGTGCCATCTCTGTGCATCAGGCCTGTTGCATGTCTCATCAAGTTATTCACTTATTCATTAGTGTTTGCAAGATGCCATTTAACCACTTCAAGTCCAGACACTTTCACCCCCTTCCTGTCCAGGCCGATTTTCAGCTTTCAGTGCTATCACACTTTGAATGACAATTGCACAGTCATGCAACACTGTACCCATATGAATTTTTTTAATTTTTTTGTGAGACAGATAAACTTTATTTTGGTGGTATTTATTCACCACTGGTATTTTTATTTTTTTTGCTATATATAAATGATAAAGTCCAAAAAATTTTTTTTAAAAAGTGTTTTTCTTATAAAATTTTAAAAATAAATAATCTTTCTTTATACATATTGGTCAGAATTTATTCAGTTATCTTTTTAGTAAAAACAAAATAACCCAAATTAGTTTATAACCAAAAATTATATTTTTTTATTTTTTTATATTCTTATTTATGTTTTTTTGAACATACTGTCACCCTAGCAGTACAGTGTCACTATAGTGACACTGTACTACTTGTGGGGGGTGATGAATATATTTTTTTTACACTGATTGCTTTTACACCCATAAAGGCTGTAAAATCAATCATTTCTCCTTCTCTCTGGCTGCATTCTTGCAACCATTGAGAAATACTTTGAGAGTTGTGATTGGTCACAGCTTGTCACGTGGTACAAGGCTGTTGTGAATAGCCTTGTACCATGTGACCTCTGTGATCATTCACAGATTTCACACGTAGTAAGCAATGATGTCAGAAGTGACATCTTGCTTGCTACTATTCATATGATCACTGATTGGCCAATCAATGATCACATGATCGGGACCTCACACAAGGGTCCCGTACAGCTATCAGTGTTCTGCTGTGTCCTCCGGACACAGCGTGTACTGGATCACGGTGCCGCGCAAACCCAGGGAGCGCGCACAGCCTGTAAATGCGGGCGCCGTTTATAAACAGCAACCCACTCCTGCACTGCTCCCATATGGCTGTTTATGTACATGGGCCGGACGGGAAGTGGTTAATACATAACTAACTGTGAGAGTTCATAATAAAAGTTAACGAGAGATCATATGCCTAGTTTTATTCCTCATGTCTGCACTACCTGAGACTGTAGAATCAAATAGATTGGCAGCTTACAGATGGTATACACTCGGGGCTTGGTTATCTAAGTGCACTACAGAATGCTTGTGAAATTCTATAAAAATGCCCACAGATATTACAAATATGGTTTAGCAAGCACTGTTTTATAGAGCAAAGCAATTTTCATCAGTAGGAATGTAGAGCAGGGTCCATTTGTTAGACTCACGTTGCTGTCTTGACAAACTCTTAATACCTTTTTCTGCAATACATCTGTACTTCCCATATAGAGAACGGGGGCTCTATTGTATTCTTTGCACTATGGGCAATTATGTCTAAAAGAAACATTTCTAAATTGCCTCTGATCACTTTGAAACCTTATTTACCATTTTTATTTCAATGCCAAAAGATATGACAGTTGTGGATTTATAGGCCACAATTAATGTTCTCATTAATCTTTCAGACAGTCTATAAATATATATGTAACCCTTCTTTGGCCTGACCTAGAAAAATATTCTTCAATTCCCAGTGATGTGGTAGGATTTTATATGGCAGTCTTTTCAGGTTAAATATAATAAAACAGTTCACTACCTTAATGACTGTACATTGGATTTTATATTACCATAGACTTTGCTGTACAATGTATGGATGTAGAATCATTGAACTGTACCATTTGAAGCATAAGCAAATCTTTTTTTAACTTGAGAAGAGCTAAAGACTGACAGTAATAGGGTTTTCTATAAATTGGAAGAAGTGAAAAGCAGATGTGCTGTCGGTAGCAACCAATCAGACTTATTATTATATTTAACTATATTTTATATACTTATAACAACCAGACGTACAAAGCTGTCCATAATACTGCCCCAAACTACATCACCGACCTGATATTCATTTACCACCCAAAACGTACTCTCCGCTCCTCACAAAACCTCCTACTCTCTAGTTCCCTGCTCTCCTCCTCCCATGCCAGTCTCCAGGACTTCTCCAGGGCTTCCCCCATCCTCTGGAATTCACTACCCCAGTCCATCAGACTGTCACCTACCCTCCTCACCTTTAGGCGCACCCTGAAAACCCATATCTTCAGGGAAGCCTACCCCGCCCTCACCTAATGCCGATCTCCTCCACTCTTTCTACCACTCCATCCCTCACAGCCACTTCCTCCTGTACCACTATCCCCTCCCTCCTAGATTGTAAGCTCCAAAGAGCAGGGCCCTCAAACCCCTTGTGTATTGAATTGTATTGTTACTGCACTGTTTCATGTACTGTCTCCCATTATAATGTAATGTACAGCGCTGAGCAAACTGTTTGCGCTATATAAATACTGTATAATAATAATAATAACCAGCCAAGATGCCAGCTTCCATGGATCTGCTCCAAAATCAATGCATGTTAGAGGTTTTTACTGTACTTGCAGCTTTTCCCATTGCCATCTTCAGAGGAAAGATAAAATTAAAAGTTATCATGGAATTTTGGATTGATTTACCAAAAGTGGAGCACACAGAAGCAGCATAGTAACCAATCAGCTTCCAGGTTTTATTGCCAAAGCTTAATTGAACAAGTTGAAGTTAGAAGCTGATTGGTTACTGTGCACAGCTGCTCCAGATTCTGTTTGCAGCATTTTTAGTAACTCTTCCCCATTGTGTTCTTATGCTATGTAGTCCATGGGGTTGATTTACTAAAGACGAATCAGCTGTTAGTTGTACTTTGCCCCAGAGCTTAGTGAACATGGTGACGTTTCATTTTGCAAAGAATATCATATCACATACAAGAAAATAAAAAAAACACGCATTTTTGCTTGGAAATGATCTGATGATGGAAGTCAGCAGAGCTTCACCACATTCATTAGGCTCTGGAGCAAATTCCCTTGCAAAGTGCAATTTCTGTTATAAAGTGTATTTGGCTTTAGTAAATCAGCCCTTACGTACATACATTTTCTTTTTATTTTGCTTCCCTTGTATAGTAGTGGGCAGACTCTTGAATCTGACTTCTCATGGATTATAGTCATCTTGATGAGAACTAACACACACAAATAGCTCTGCTAGACAGGGATACACAGGGGTTGATTTACTAAAAGCAAATAGATTGTTCACTTTGCCGGCAGTGGTGTATTTAGGTTTCATGCTGCCCTAGGCAACACATAAATTGGCTCCCCCCCCACGGAGAGACCCTGACACCGGCCAACACCTCCCTCCCCCACGAAGAGAACCTGACATTGACCAACAACACCCCAGCCCCCCATACACTGGCAACCCTACCCCCACCCCGGCAAGAGATAAGGCACTCACCTTCACAGCTATGGACATCCCCTGGAACAAGAGTCAGGCTCTGCATACACCATCAAGCAGCCTGCAACCTCTCTCAGATCCCACCTGGTCCCCGTGCTACGTGTGTCCCTTCTTCCATCGCTTCTTCCGGGGGAAGCACTGCCCACCTGAAAAATGCTGCTGCCCCCCTGAAAAATGCCACCCTAGGTAAATGTCTTGTTTGCTTTGTGATAAATACATCCCTGTTTGCAGGGGAAGTTGTACTTTACATAGGAAGTTGCACTTTGCATGGTAATTTTTCCCAAAAGCATAGTGAATGTGATGAATCTCTGCTGACTTGCATCATCCAATCAGGTTCAAATAAAAATGCTTTTACTTTTCCCTTGCACATG